GTTGTTCCTACCTGACATGGTTATTGCAGAATTTTGTCAGCTGGGGTTGGTTAATGAAGATAGTCCTTACTTCCTCCTGGTCAGCCAGCGATGTCTTCTCTGAAACATCATCTGTCTTCTCATAACCTTACAAAGAAACAGTCGTATTTGAAAAGAAATGTTTCATTTTATTATCCAGACCAAAAACACATTTCATAACTACTCTAGAATATAAAATCCATTAAAAGCTACAAACATTCCCTTTTTGATGCTCTTGTTTCTTTCATAATAAAAAGTAAAATCTCTACATCTGACATTTCTACTGGATTTAAAAGGCAGCATTTAACAGCCATGTAAAAACTGGCCCATTTCAAAAACAGGAACATCAGTTTAAAATTTTTAACTATCTTTCCCCCATAAATGTTCAACTTATTTCTCCCCATTACATGAAAAGATGTCCAAAAGCATCAAATAACTTAAAACTGGTTTACAGTATAGTTTTAGAGAAAATTAATGAAATAAAGGTAATTTAAAATATTTTCAAAAATTTAAGTTTTTATGTTAATGCTTTTCTATTTTTGTTTGGTTTTCTTCCTGGATGCAGACCAAAAAAAGATAAATATTAAGGTTTAAATAGGCAACCACCACAATGATCTAATTCATTATGATCAGATGATTTTACCTCCAACTCGAATTTATGTTCACAAATGCATTTTAAATTTCTTAAGGTCATTTCAAGTCATCTCACAATCATTGGAACAAAGCAATAGATTCAATTGGGTACCTTGTTGCAATGTCAACAACGCTTTTTAAAAATACATGCAAGTCTTGAAGAAAAGATAATAAACAGAAAAAATTTAAACTGCTATATACTGTACCTTCTAGTGAAAATTAAAAGTCTGGATTAAATTAGTTCCTTACTCCTTTGTTAGAAAGGGATGCCAACAGTGCTCTATCTCAAAACCCCATTTTTCTTCTCTTTTCTGTGTAGCCAATGCCAGCTCTTCCCAGAAGACCTGCTGACATGTGGTCTCTTCTAAAGTATTCCATGATGGTAAAGCCAGTGAACCTTCTCTGTGTTCCCACAGCTCTCTGTATCTACTCCTTCCCCAGCAAAACACTTACAGGAAGGTTTTGTTGCCATCTGTTTATGAGCCAGTCTTCCCCTACCAGAATGGGAACTCTCTGGCCCCGTACATGGTGTGTTACTCATCTTCTCAACACCAGTGCCAGCAAACAGGAGGTACACAGTAAATGTTTGCTGAATACATACATACCAAATGACAAAGGAGTGGTTCTCTGGCTGTTATTTTGAGGGCAAGCAAAAGCTTCTCCAACCACTGATAAAGACTCTGAAAAATGACAGCCATGTGCTGGTAACAAACTGTACATGAAAAGCTTGCCTGTGGGGTTGGGTTACTACATTAAACAAGAAAATCACCGAGGTGTTCTTTGAAGGTGAGAAGCAGGAATACAGGGACCAGGGGGGTGAGAAGCAGTGTAACATGTGCAGGGGAGTGTGGACAGTGCAGTATTGCTGAAGCACAGACAAAAGGCGAGGTAGAGAAGGATGAGACACCATGCTGAGGAAGGACACGGGACAGATGGCGAAGGACCTCTTGTGCTACAGTAGAAATAGGCAGCTCATCCTCTGTTTGGCAGCGAGCAGCCACTGAAAGCTTTCCAAATAGAGTGAGGGTCACATTTTATCCTCATCACCCTGGAGGTCACATGGCTCCAAATTAGGTACCGTCATACTCATTTTTCAGTTTCAGACACATCAGCAGCTTTGCCCATGTTTGCAAAGTTAGCAATGATCTTTCACTACACCATGTTTTAGATACAACACAAGCCTTCCCCCCAGTTTCATATAATCAAAATTTCACAGATGGATTACCAAATAGAAGTGTATCAGTCTTAAAGTTCTTAAAAATCCTTTATTAGGTCCTCCTTAACTATAGCTCAGAGACCAGAGTGTACTATTCCCTTCCCCTGGATTGGACAGAGAGCTTCAGGAAAACCAACTCTCCACTCTGCTGCAAGCTGATGTCCTCAGGTTGTGCTTACTTTATTTATGTAACTGGCCTTTTAAGGGCCTGACCCTTGGATGTTCTTAGCTGAGAAGTTAGGTGCTAGTCTTCACTGGACATATCCATTTACATGGGGGGGGGGGGCCTCAAGAGGGG